AATTTCTTTTTCCTACACCGGCTGCCACTGCGAACGTATAGTTTCGCGAACATTTTTCTCAGATCGTGAACTTTTGCTACTGCGAACATATAGTAAATTACAGTAGTGCCTGCTTGCACTGCTTAAAATGTCAACAAAATCATTTTGGAGACAAAAAAATAATGTATAATTCCTATATGCTCCACTAACAGTACAGTTCAAGTTAAAAAAGGAGACATCTAAAATGCATGATCTGACTGATATTAAATCTCCAGTGTTCTTCTCAGTAAAGCTCGGTAAAAGACTGTTGCAAACATATGCATTATTATCGACTACAAATGATCTTTATCCAAGCTTCATTCCTCTAAAAATCCTTTGATCCAAAATGGGCAGTTAGGGACAAATTTGTGTGGATTATTTGTTTTTTGCAGTTAATGGTCAAACCTCAACGACCTTTAAAAACATGCGACAAATCAAGGTATGATATTTTCTATTTACAAACAGGTTTTAAACAGTTCTTTATACCACGTGCAGGAAAAAATGTCATCCTTCACAAATAGCAATCGTAGTTTTGAGGCAAGACAGAAAATTACGGAATGTTGCTAAAAAACAGAAATTAAAAAAATACCATGGGTGACTTTGGGAATCTAATTTAATGAAAGAAAAAATTGGATACTAGTACAGCCTACAGGGATTTTCTTCTTACACAATCTGCAGTATTCCTCAGCTGCTTACGTTTCGATTCCTGACAATTTCCAAACAAACTATCTGCCCAAAACATCATACAGGAAAAAAGTCTCACCTTACTTCTGAACAGCACGTTCACTCAGTAACATCTCTGTCCACCAATTCAAACCTACCACCAAGATACGCTTACCTAACAAAGAGCATTGATTGACAGACTGACCTTATGAACTCTGCACAGCATGAAGACTTATAAGGCTCTTCAACAAAGGAAGACACACTGGGCCTCCTCCATACTAACTAGACAGAGATAAATGTTCTCCCAGTTTGTGGGGGATGGCTAGGATTGTCATCTATCTTCTACTCTGTACACTGCTTCTGCTTGTACCTTCTCTACATTACTCAAGTGGGGTCGCTGACCTGGTGAACTTTGCCCCCAAATTCTTTTCACACCTAGGTGTGAAGAACTACATTTTAGGACATCCTTGTTACAATTGCTTCATGGCACCTACCTGTTTGTTTATTTTCTCCCACGTTTCTAAATCTTTTTAGAAAGCTATATATGGTTGCTTGAGAAATAGGTAGAAATGGAGGGCTCAAAGTATATGTAAAGTACAAATTTGAGTGTCAGATATATTTCAAGTACTAGCTACAGGAAGATATTAAAATATTGTAACACCCCTAGGCATATTTTTATAATCTGTCATAGTGTTGACCTAGTTCTAGATTACCTATATACTTCAGAAAAGCCATTTGTCAACCTACATTTTGTTGGCCTACTTTCTGCTTCTAATTCTAGTACAATATTTTCCTAAAATTACTAGTTTTTGTTACAAATTTTACCGATACCTTTCCTGTCTTGTCCTCTACAACAGCTGACCATCTGAGACCATCGAACAGTTGTCGTGTTTGTAAACATTACGTGCACTATCCCTAGAATAGCTCATTTCACACTAGACTTCACATTGGTTCCCCACCGCGCATGAAAGATTGATGGAATTATGGTCAATGCCATTTCTGCACCCATCTGTCTATAGGTATGGGTGCCTGACCCAGACATTAGTTGTCAGCCTATCAATTATGGAGCTCTCTTCTATGAATACATCAAATAGTCTGCTAATCTCATTATCACGCATTTATACCAGTTTATCTTAGAAGTGAAAAATTTCATCAAATTGGTTTGTAAGAAACCACACATCTTCAAATACCAGAAAATCTTAACGTTTAACCTCCTACGAAAATCTGGGACAGTTGAAATATGTCACCACTAACACAACGCACAACAATTGTGCCCTTTCAGTACATTTGTATTGAAAAAATATTCCAAAAATGCCCAAGAAGGTCGCAATATATGAATATTACATGTACCTTTGAATTTTACAAAAGGGTAGACACATACAACTAACAGTATTACTATTCATGATGTCCTAAACCGATTTCCAAAACACCCTTTTCTTCTAAATCAGTATGTTTATGATAGATGACAATAATATAGATTGTGAATGCATTTGAAAGAGAGGATATGTCCTTTTGGGTCATTCATCGGTCAGCTTTGATAAAGAGTCAGACAGGAAGAAGAGCACTGCTGCAATAAATTTCAGACATGATTGCACATCCACATATCACCGTTGGCACACCAGGTACAATCATTCATAAATCATTTCTCCTGGAACTTTTTTTCTAATATATCCTTGATAACTTATCATCTAGATGAAGTCAGCCTGTGGGTACTGTGCAATAAATTCTTCAAGTGTTTCTAGAATTGTGCATAGGAATACAAACATGTTGCAAACTTATAGCACAAAGACCATACACGGATACACCTACAGTACCTGTATTGGATACGGCTGATTCTTACAATAGAAAGTCATTCAGCACCAAGGACAGACTAGACAAATAAGCCAAAGAACAATTAACACTGTCAATATTCAGAATTAAAGGAATATATATACCATTGCATCTTACATATATATGTGAGTAGGATATACCTGTTCCTTTAATCTTCATTTAGAATGGAACAGCTTTTCAGCACTAAGGACAGTGCCTACAACATTCCATGCTTATGTAAAAATTTTAAATTCCAGACACAGAGCTAGGCATATTACTGATATCTGATAGCAACTCCATCAGTGAAACTATAATAATCTAATGTTCAAAATGCATTAGATGATGGTATCACCACTTTTTATATACCAACAGGCATCCGTATGACAAAGAAAAACTAAGCTTTACCTGTTATTTAAAAAGAAGCAGCAGAAATTTCCAAGAATCGAACACAGAGATGCTAGAACTGTGTGTTGTTTTTTTCAAGACTCATTTACCATGCTTGCATCCACGCTGCTCAAATATATGGACCAGTAACACCGGGCCTCCCCCCTGCATAATTCCCGTTACAGATACCAGCTTCCCTCAATTAGGGGAAATGTGCCGTCGAGCGGTGAAGAAAAATTACACGTCCACCGTACGATGAATAAAACATGGCCGGGGAGTTAGGCCACAGACTACATGGAGCCAGTCTTTATGAAGAGGGGTCTAGAAACCAGGGCACGGTGTGCACACATCTATATCATGCCTTCTACTGGAATGTAGGCCAACTGTTTGCCACGCTAAATAAACAGCAAGCTGTTCTTTTTGCATTATTCCTTTTTTGTACACAGAGCGATAATGACATTGTCTCACATTGTCACCTTTTAGTTCAAAATCCCGTTGAAATCTACACACATCACACAATATTTTTTTCTCTAATCTCTCGTGTGAGCTAGTTAATATATAATATTCATACCAGCGTCTTCAAATCACAAATACATACATAGTACAGAGAAATTTCTTGTGATTCTATGAAATGTGACAAGATATTCATGAATGTCTATTGCATTTGATGTGATTGTGAGACCCCCAAATTTGTATGCACATTCACACGAAATCTGCTCAAGCATCTTTTGCACTATTGATCTCTTTTCCAGAGGAGCTCGATAATTTTGTTTCCATTTTTATACCGGGCATTTTTCACTTAACGGCCACTTTACGGCCATTTTATTGCAGGTTCTTTATCTTACAGCCCCCAACACATGCTTTCCTAATTCCCAAATCATAGGCCTTTTTATATTGTCTCACATACTTTGGGGCAAAATCATAGCTTTACCTTTATCAGTGAGTGCAATGAAAGGTTTTGAAACAGTCTTCTTGCCCCTAGCAATAGTAATCTCATTCATATTTTACAGAGTGTCTATCAAAAGTGATATTAAAAAAAATCCATGCCAACATACATTAAGTTATAATGCTGTAATAAAATGTGAATATTCTTTAATTACAAAACGATAAATGCTCTCGAAATCATATGCTAATATGCATCATTTCCACAGTAGAAACAATAGATGATTTGATAATTACAACAATAAACAACAAAGCCATTCATAGAAATCATAATAGCAGAAAGTGTGACAAACAACAAAATCCTAGAGCATGTAAAATAAATGAATTGTGAAGAAAGTGCTGTTTAGTGATGGATGTTTTATAGTGGGATTTGTGCGTAAAATCCTGAGGGAGATGTAAAATGTGCTTTGAATCCAGGACCAGTACGCCTTTCACTGACAATACAGGCACATGTGTGATCAAAATGCTTGCGCCATGCCTCCTAGCACTGAGGATCAAAGGAGTACTAAACATGTTACGTCCTGGGATATATGGACGTAAATGCCTCAGCAAAAATACAGCCTTGCAGCATATCATGTTTCACGTCTATAAACAAAGGGATGTACGAAAATCTGAATGTTACCCCCTTTTGTTTTCATTGTGGGGAAATATATTTACGATACCCGGTTATTTCTGGCCCTGAAGGATTTAAAACGCGTGTCCCAAAAGGATAAAGGACGACCGCTTTGCATGCTAATGTTGTCTTGCATTTTTGACAAGAGACCTGCTAGCCTCGCATGAATACATTATGATCTACAAATCTTAAATTTCTGATTTATTCCCTGCAATATGCTAAAACAAAGCTGATAACAGGGAATGTATAATATTTTTATCTCATGCGAAAGGGGAAATATTGCGCAAAAAATGTCACATATAAATAACTGCCACCATATTTTTACCATGTGGCAAATGTGGAAAACCGAAATCCAGTTTTGGGGTCTGCATCCTTGATCTTATGACCTCCAATGAAACAGATGCTGGGGTGACATTAGTGTCATTCTTTCACCGATTCTGACAAGTGTGATTCACTAGAACAGCCCGTACCGCCTGCTAGCACATGTCTGAATGTTTCAAATGGCTCTGTACCTCCATTTTGGAACCCAACAGTGAAACAGTGTTGTGTGGGAACACTCCACGTCACGTACCTCTTAAACCTCCACTTCAACATGGCCTCTGTTGCTACTGGTGACCGTCAGCTGTCCTTTAAGCCGGCGACGTGCAAAGCCCCATCCGCCATCACCCATCTACCACGCCGTAACTAGATCGATCCCCATAACAAGTGCCGTAAGATTGATATAGGCCAGCCAAGATGAGGCCAGACTTGCCAATAAAATCGTGGCTTCCGGGACTGACTCAGAGAGATGGGTATCTCTCCTGGAAAGACTATCCCTACGAAAGCAGCACCAGTCCCAGTGTGCTATAGATATTCATGAACGGCGGATAGATTATAATCTGCTGAATGCATGCAAGGCAATACTTTAGCCTCTTTCAGTCAAGAGATTGTCCCTGGGTTTATTGTGTTACGACTGAGGATCAATATTAACTACATCGACCATGACCTTGACGAGCCTTATCATAATAACATTACTGTTTATTTCACTGCCTGCTCCTTATAAAATACGGATCACCAAACACCTTTGATACAACACATTTCAAAAACATACCTCCTATTCTTTGAAGAATCCACACCAAAAAAATCCCCTTTTTTTCTGCAGAGAAAGCTGGAAAATTCAATTCACACTAAGGTTTTTTCAGGTCAGTGTTTTCTCTGCAAATGTTAATGAGATTAGTATAGACCATTGTGTTGGCTTTGTAACCTTTTCACACAATCTATTCTCCACACTGTGTCCTAATTAATGTACCGTGAAATTGAACCTTCCTTGTTCTCACCTTTCTCCAAATACAAGTGTGTTGATTACACCTTAGTGGAGTCTTTTGTTTTTGCTTTCATTCTGAGGGACAAACTACTAGTATTGTGGCCATGGGGGGGGATAAAATTTTTGGTGCCATGTTCTCTCTTTTACAATGTTTTCTATTATCCTGATTCATTGACTTTACTTTTCAAATTACTATCTTCTTTCATGTAACTTATAACATTTTCTCCACATTTACATATCCCAAAGATGTCTCAAATCAATTCTAGAAAACCAATTGTATGACCACCCACCTCATCTGACATGTTCTCTGTACAGTTTCAACTTTGTTTATGTTTGCCAAGCTGATCAGCTGTGAAATTTGTTCTCCTCCCCTTTTGTCACCAGATTTACCCTATATAAAGCCTCTGCGATGCTATATTTGTACTGTTCCCTTCTTTATTCATGTGTACAACTCACTGAATCTGACTACTTCTAAAGAGCACCAAAGCAGTGTGTGATTTCAATACATTTCTCAAAAGACTTTGCCATGTATGGTAAAATTAATATAGAACGTATTTATAAACACCAGAAGAAGAATTTGAACTTGACTTTCATAAGGTAATATTTCCTGCTAGGATATTAAGACAAAGTTACAAGTAGAGCTACAAATATTCCCAAGATGAGGATTAAGAAAAAACAAAGGTACAACAGTTAAATCAACCTAAAACAAGAAGCCATAGGCGACAATTCTCCGTGAAGTATTATATATTGCAACAAAAAGAAGTAGCCATTGGCGACAATTCTCTGTGAAGTGTGATAAATCGAACAAAGAAAAATTGTTTAAACGCGCGTCGGCTCAGTCATCTTAAGACGCAACAACCAATCAGAGATGCGAGATGCCTACACGTGACGCAGGAAGGGCGCGCGATGCCCGAAATATTTTTGCGTCAATATTCAGCGCCGTGATTCAAGAGATTAATACCCGGAAACAATTTTTTTCTTGTTTTGAACGCATTAACATACATTTACGCTAATCTAGTATGATTCACGCTAATCTAGTATTACTTTTTTTTTAACCTGCCATGGCCAGATTATCTAAAGATGTGTGTATTGTGTGTACAATCTATAGAAAGAGAAATGTACATCAGGTCCGATCATCCGATTTTCACGTTTCGGTTTTTTGGACTCGGTTCATGAACGTATTTTGGTTTGGCTCCTGGAATGTGCGAAAAAAATGACTCCCGGGACTGTCTACAGGGAACACTCGCACATTCGCGGTGTATCAGGACAGCGCGACTGGTCGTCATTAGCGCAGTAACAGTTGCATAAACGGACGAAACCATTTCAAAGAAATGGGGATGTTTCGAAAATAAGCATTTACTCCAATATCAAAACAGCTACGGTAAAAATAAAAAGACGTGCATCATCCCGGACATAATGCAACACCACATGCGAAATTACACAGAAATGCGACGTACGGGAGAATGCGTTTTGGCTGCGAACATCTTCCAAAAAACTTGGCATCTCTTAACCATGGGCAAAAACATCTGGAACCACTTATAAAAACCACCCCGTATCTGCATGAACTTTTTTGAACGCCACTGCTATTCCAAACAACGCGTTTTTCTGGACCATTCCAATTCGCCTCGTAATTGTAGGGGTGCGTCTGCGATATTACATTGACCGCGAAAGCAGCAACGGCAAAAATACACATTCGTGTATCAACACGGGCATGCCCGCAGACGGCGCATAAAATTGCGTGCCGATTACACAAAGAGAACCCAGTGTTTTGACTGCGAACATGAAAAATCAGCCGATTACAACACTCCGTCCGGAGGTCCTGACCTCCTTCACGGAGTAACAATTAAATCGCATCTACATGGCCATGGTGGTTATTTTGGTCCAACCAGGACAGGAAAGGGGTGAAAGGTCATCCTGCAGGCTTCCTGTACTCTTACAGAAATAGCTTCCCCATTCATGAGGGAGGCAGCGGAAATACAAACCTATGTTCACATACCACATGCTTTTTTTTTTTTCAAATTTCAAAACATGTCCTATTCACTGACAACAGAAGTATGGTCAGTGTTAGAAATATGCATCTGCAGTCTGTATTTTGCAAAGACATTTTCTATATTGCAGAAGAAAAATCAAGCAACCTGTAATTTTGCAGACTAACAAAATAAGGCTTCAGTACAGGTTCAATGGTGTTGGCCTCCATCCATGTGGCCACAGTTTTGCCGATGTGCTGCACAAACAACATAAGTATCTTGCCTCTAAACCCAGATTGCACAGTTTCTAGGGGGAAAATTTAGTACTTTTCTTACTGTTATTGCTATAGAAGAACTTCTACTAAGCTGAAAAGATTGCATATTTTTTGGCAGAAAGTATTTGCAAATTGCAGAACAAAATTTAGACATTCTGCAATAATGCTGAACACTGAAAAAAAAAGTACTTTAGTATTTCTACCGCTGATGGTAAGATGCCTACTGTATGTTTGAGCTTCTTTCCACAGTACCAGTAACCTGAAAGGTCAGCCATGGAACAAGTGTTTGACCTTATATTGATTTCTACTCAGACATCGTGACGTTGCGTCTGGTACTCACCATGCACACTGTGAAGACTAATTTGCAAGACATCAGCCAACGTTACCTTCAACATGAAAGCCAAGTTTAGCATACCCAGCTACTAAGTCAACGTACAGAAATATAACATTCTACAGAATATTGTAATCATATTCTACCCATCTCTAGTAAAAAAAGTAGTATACATTTTTTTTCCATCTAAATACAAAAATAACTTTCATATCATATACTGCTCTAAGGTAGCAGGAAAGAATATTGTGATAAAAAAATCTATGGTACAAACTGCACATCAAGCCACATTCTTGAATCTGCATATAATTATCATAATTGATATTCATCTTCCAAAAAGTCCAAGTATTCAAGAAAATATTATCAAAAGGCTTTGAGAAGCAATGTTGAAGACATTGCGGTATCATGACCTAAAATGAAACTGACTGTGATTGAATTAAAGCATCTTCCCCATGGTTGGTGTGCCCTCTATCACCTGTGACATCTACTACAGGGGGGCCGGGGTAATCAACAATCATGTTTTATTCAGAGCCCATTTTTGTTTCCCACTGTGATCTTTCACTAACTACTAGTATTGCGTGCAGATTTATTGTTATGTTTTCATGATTCTGTATTCAATTATAATTATAATTACATTTGATTAATTCAAATTATTCCTCACTTTACTAATTTTATAAAAACAAAATTAAGAACCAAAGCTTTAAAGGTAATTTGTGTCTTGCTGGTATACAGTACTATTGATGTTTATAAAAAAATGTTTTTGAAGGAAAGGGAATTGTTATTATCATAGTATGTAAATGATAAAGCATGCTGCAATATTTTCAGGATTTCCCTGTTTTGTATATTTATGTACCCAAATATCAAATCAAAATCTGTTGTGCTTGACTTGTCAACAAACACACTCCTTGGTATGAAATAATGTTAGATTCTAGATTTCAAGAACTTTGCTTTTCAATAGTACATGTATTGTAGGATAACCATGATATAAAAAAGATTCAATACAGAGAGCAAGACAGCAAAAATTTACGTACAATACATGAATTTGGTCTTAACGAGTTCCATTATAGGAATGCCAATAGGACAACACAGTAGATGGCATCAGCAAAAGAAAGCCTACTAAATAATTCAAAGTGGCTCTCACCACCATAAACTACAGATTCAATCCTAAATACCAAACATTCAATTGCTGAACCCAACAGCATTTGGTACATCCCATGTACATTTCACTCACCTAAACAGTAGTCTCCGAAAAGTCACCTTCAGTCATCTGTTCCGATATGTAAATCAAGGTCGTTTCTCCTGTACCCTTCGCGGCAGACAGCCTTGTTTAGCCCGGAATGTAGCCTGGCTAATCCTCTGTTAACTAACCCTCCGGGGGAGGCTAATTGAATTCCCAAGATGCCTCTGGGAAAACTCCCATGATGCTTTACAACATTTTTGAAGTCCCAAAGCAAAGAGCTGGACATTGATTCAGTCATTACCTAATGACCTATGGCTACCATGATACCATCAATGATAAGGGAGAAAGTACTGTTATCACTTTGAATTGTGAATATTTCTGCTCTCTGCATACGCAAGTAACCCATAGGAGATCATACTATAAATCAGCACCCTTTATAAAAAATAGAAGTTCATGCACCGAATTTATAATCAATTTTCATTGTGGAAAAGTCATAGATTTTATCTTGTAGAATGAATCACAAACGATAACAAACAAAACACGTGTAACAAAAACACAGGTTGTTACACAAACAAGAGCGGCAAATTTTATGGCTTTGCTGAGCTCTTGTACTATGACAACCAGATTACATGTATGTTTGTATAGAAAGATACAATGTACATGTAACACTTTTATGTACCACATCTTGTAGAAACAAGGAGCTTTCATGTGATGAAAGCTCCTTGGTAGAAAGAATAACAAATAAAAAAACCTGTAAGTTGTAACAAGTTGCT